GTCACGAGCGGTGGTCCAGGCCATCTAGGCTCCACCTGGGTCGCTGGGGAGCGTCAGAGGCTGCTGCCTGTCTACAGGGCTGCCCAAAGCCTGACAGGACTAGGGCAAGAGTTAAACTTGGCCCTGACCTCGGCGGATGGGCTGTGAATGTTCAGAAGGGAATACAGTTTGGAGTTTGGACTCCAGACCCATTCCTGGAGTGGGCGTGGCCCTGGGAAGGACCCTTCCCTCTTGGGCTCTGTAGTCCCCAGGACAAGACCCTTAGAGGAGTCCAGCAGGGCCTGGCTTCCTCCTCATTGGCAGCTTGGGCAATGTTACCCCAGCCCCCAGTCCATCACGCTCAATGATCTGACCTTGTGGTCATTTTCTGTGTGGACAGCTGCTGTCTTTCCCTTTAAATATTACCCTTGGGGTTATTTCAGCAAATTCACCTCCTTTTGGGAACTCCTAAAATCCGGGCATGCTCTGTTTGTGGGGTGATCCTCAGCCTGGGTCTGTGTGTTCTCTGTCTCTGGGGACTTACACTCCCAAGGAGGAGCTGTGGGGTGAGCCAGGGGTGGAACAGGCTTCTCAGCTATCCACCCTCTGCTAACTGGCATGTGCTGCCCCGTCCCACACCAGAGGGCAGAGCCTGCGCTGTGGTCTTCGACTGCAAGTTCATCGAGACATCAGCAGCGCTGCATCACAATGTCCAGGCACTATTTGAGGGCATCGTACGTCAGATCCGGCTGCGCAGGGACAGCAAGGAGGCCAATGCCCGGCGGCAGGCGGGCACTCGGCGGCGGGAGAGCCTCGGCAAGAAGGCTAAGCGCTTCCTGGGCCGCATCGTGGCACGCAACAGCCGCAAGATGGCCTTCCGTGCCAAGTCCAAGTCCTGCCACGACCTCTCAGTTCTCTAGGTGCCCTGGGCTCTCACTGCAGTGGGCAGATGGATGGACAGTTTGGGTGGGCTGGCCCAGCCTGCCACCCTAAATGCCTCAGGACTGGCTGAGATTCTAGACCCCCACACCCCGCCCTAGACCTGCCAACAGAATACCACCTGCCTCATGGCATGGACAGACACACAGTGCTGCCCTGGGAGGCAGTTCCCAGTGGCAGTGAGGGCTGGGCCCACCGACAGGCACGTGCGGGCCCACGTGCATCCTGGGCAGCCACACGTGTGGGTGCCTTCCTCCCACCCATGGCGGGAGGCAGTTGGGTGTACTGGCTATTTGTTTACATGCAGAGGTTGTGTTTTTATATATATGTGTATATATATATAATAAAGATTATTTCCTGATATGTCAGGGCTGTTGATTCTGTGTTTCCTTCTGACCAGGGCCTTCAGGAACAGGAAATGGGGAGATGAAGAGGCTCGTTGCCCCTATACTCGTGTGTGGCCTTGAATACCCTCATATTTGGATCCAGATACAGTCAGCTGGACCTGGGTTGGGATGGGGTAGGGCATGGGTCAACATGGGATCCAAGAAGCAGGAAGACACACAGCCCCTCCCTGTCCCTGTCAACCGGGTCCTCCCTTACTTAGGTCTGATGTATCCCAGTTGATTGAGGGTTCAAAGGAACTACAAGGGGTATTTAAAACTTCTGACCTGTGGACCACGGAAAGCTAGTGCAGTCACTTGGGAATCTAGCCCTGCCAAAGGAACTACAAGGGGTATTTAAAATTCAACACATACCAGTCAGCTGAGGGTGGGTGGCTGAAGACCCCATTCCACTCCTGGCTCCCCCATAACAAGGCTAATCCTCTGCACTTGGCGCTGGCATTACACATAGGTGCTGATTTATGTCCCGGCTTCTCTACTTCCAGTCCAACTCCCTGATAAGGTGCCTGATAAAGCGATGGATAATAGCTCCAATCCTTAGGCCTGTGCACCCACATGGAGACCCTGAAGAAGCTCCTGGCTTCAGATCAGCTCAGCTCTGGCCATTGTGGCCACTTAAGGAGTGAACCGGCAGATGGAAGAGCCTTCTGTCTGCTCTCTGTAAATCTGCCTTTCAAATTAAAATACAACAATAATATTTTTAGAATTCAGCACATCCATAGCAGGGAAACTGAGGTTGCTCTCGCCCTGGGTCTTCTAACCAGCTAGGCGCCCTAGCTGTGGCTACAGGGCTGGTGCATCTACCCTAGATGCTAAAGAATGGGCAGGACGTTGGAGACGTCCATACAGGGCAGCCTTCTTCCTTTCTCATCACTGGGAGTGCAAAGCCAGGGCATCCTGACCTCAGCCATTCCATCCCACAGCTGAGGCAGATCTGTGCAAGGGCGTGCCTGTGTGCACATGGCAGGAGGGCCCATCTCCCCAGCACCAGGTGCCTGTATGGGAGCTGATCCGCAGTAATTCTCCCTGATCTGTGATTTCATTTTCCATGCATTCAGTTACCCGTGGCTGACCATAATCCAAAAATATTACCTGGAAAATTCCAGAAATCACTCAGAAGTTGTAGTAAGTGGAGAGCTATTCTGAGTCATGTGATGAGGTTTATGTCCCTCCCAAAACATGACTCATCCCTGTATACAGTGGGTCCACACTGTATCTGCTACCCTCCTGGTAATTCTCACCATATCCTGGCTTGATCAAATAGTGCCTGTGTTCCTGCCACCCTTATCTTCCTGCATGGTGACCCCACAGCTCCAGCGGGTCATGCTGGCAGCTTATATGTGCCAAAGAGGAACACTAAAGGGTTTCCTTTAAGCGAAAATGTGCTGAGATCCATGTGACTGGGAAAACATGCAGTATTTGTAGGGGTCAGTTCTCTCCATGGTCTGGTAACCACCCACAAAGGGTCTCGGAACAAATCCCCCAAGGATAATGGGGGAGAGGCTCCTGTAAGTGGTTTTGGGAGGTGAGGAATCCCATTCAATAATGGGCGGGAAGTACCTGAGTGAGGTCTGCCCATCTCCAAGACCAGAGGCAGCATGGGACAGACTAAGATGAAGACATATCTTCATGAATCTAGTTTGTTCATCCTGCAATCCCCTGAAAATCCTCACAACTAATTATAGATTATGTATCAGCTAAGAGGAGAAATAAGGGCTATCCCTCCGTGTGTGTGTGTGTGTGTGTGTGTGTATCAGGGGCAGCTCTGAATCTCACCCACCCACCTCCCCTCAGGGTGGTTGCAGCTGCCTCCACCCCAGCACACCTGGAGGCAGGTGGAAGGGATGATTCTCTCAGAGCAGGGACAAGGTCTCCAGCCCTTTCTGGCTTGATATTCCATTGGCTGTGTGACTCTTGGCCAACCCCTGAGCCTCTCTGCTCAGCGTGTGAGTAGGTGCGGTTCAATAGATGCGCACTCCAAACAGCACCCGGAGCACCTTGGGAGCCCAGCAGAGATACTGAGCTCCTTGCCAACCCTGCCGTGGCACTGCCCCAGCCAGGCCACCGGGGTGACCAAGGCAGCTGAGACAGCTAGGGGGAACCGGCCTCTGGGCCTCTGATGGAGAAACAGTTACAGCTCCTCCTACTATGGAATGAGCTGCGGTCAAGGCTCCAGGCAGCTCACAGAGGCCCAGGAAGTGGACGCCTAGAACTAATAAAGGAATGTCTGAACCTGGAGTCCTCTCAGACACACAGTGTGAAGGACCGGGGACAACCCTGGGAAGTTCCAAGGAAGGGGAGGGACCAGAGATCAGCATTCCACCTGCTGCCCTTGAACTGGCTCCCAGCCCCAAGAGCTTCCTCGGGTCCAATGAGGGGAGGGCCCCTGGGCAGCCCTGCAACTCACTCAAGGTCACCTGAGCTGGCTCATGTGTCTCTTCTTGGAAGCGTAAGATGGATCATACCCCCAGCCCACCCACTAGTCCCACAGGGGGATAACGCCAAGACAGGATGAGAGCCAGGCCACTGCTGGGTCCTCAAGTCCTATGCCAGAGAGGTTCTTAATCTAATGGAAATGATAGGAGTGATGTTGTGTGTGTAGAGGGAGGGAACACATGGTGTGTGTGAGAAGGGGCAGGAAACGGGCCGCAGAAAGGGATCCCTCGAGATGTAAGCAGGTGAGGGAGCTAGAGGGGTATTCCAGGTAAAAGGCACAGAGCAGTCAAACTGTGGGGGGTCCAGTGCACAGTAGAGACGTCGGATGGAATCTGAAGCTGCAAAGTCATAGCCGAACCTGAAGGCCAAGGAGCACCCACTGGGCTGTGTCGGGGTCCGTGGTTGCCCGCCTCCTGGGGCTGGCAGTCACGGATGCTGGGCAGCAGTGCCTAGCTTTCCAGGGTCAATGAATAACTGGGGGTGGGAGGTGGAGCCTGGCCTGCTGCCGTGGGCCCAGTGGCATTTTTCCACCCATGAGCTAGTGTGGCCAGACCGCCTACCTGCTCAAGTGTCCGCCTAGGCAAACCCCACCTGGCCTGGCCTGGCCTGGCCCAAGCTCCCTGGAGAAGGAGCCCTCTCTCCTGGCAGTTGGACTGAAGAAGCCAGCCATTGGCACTCGTGGGTGAGGGGCTGACAGTGGAGACAGGGATGGTGGGGAGGGCTGAGTTCAGGGATGGGATGGGGCAAGGGAGAAAGAGACACAGCCCTGGATTCCTGTGGTCTGGGAAGAATTCCTGGGGATCCTTCTCTGAGTACTCTCCACCTGCTGGGGTGTAACTCCATGTCTAAGGGGTGGCAGGGGGAGGTGGCACCGCCCCAGAGACCCCAAGCCACAAGCCTGCTGCAGCCAGAGGACCTCTCCTGTACTGAAGTCCTCCATGACCTTGGCCAGGCTTTGCCCGCCCTTCGGGACTTGCCTGTAACTGGAAGTTACAGGTTGAGCTGGGGCTGCTGGGAAGTAGCCTCTGGGGGTATCAAGCTGGTGGCTGTAAGAAACCTTGTGGGGGGAGGGCTGAGGCACAGAGAGGCTGGGCCTGGGGCTGTAGAGACTGCGAGCAAGCCCTAGGACCTGGCGCCAGTCCACAGTGAGGCCCCCTCTGGCTGTGCCAATAGGACGGAACCCCCACCTCTTCTACCCTGGACTGGAACCTGACTGCCCTGTCTTTCAGGACTGTCCCGACCATGGTCCTGGCCTGGTTGTGGCTGCTTTGCCTCTCTGTCCCCCAGGTGAGCTGGGCTCTGTCTCCTTCCTTCAGGTCCTGGCCTTGGAGGGGAGGGGGACAGGAAGAAGGGCCCCTTGCCCCCCGACACCTTACCTTCCAGGAAATCACACTGACCACTGGAGCAATGTGGGAAGCATGGGCTGTGGCCCCTGCTGTGGTCTCAGAGGGTCAAAGGCTCAAGTATGGGACTAGGCCCAGGGAGGTCAGGCAGGAAGAAAAACCCTGCTGACCCTGCACAGGCTGCCCCGGAGGTCCCGCCCGCTGAGCTACATGTGGAAGTCCCAGAGAACTACGGAGGCAATCTGCCTTTGTATCTGGCCAAGGTGAGCACCTTGTCCCCTGCCTCCTATACCCTTTGCCCCTTCTGGCTCTGGCTAGCTGGCCGATCCTGCTTGGTGCGGAGTGTCTCTCAAAGTGTGTGTGACTGGCAGGAGTTAAGCCCAAGGCTTTACTGGGTGAGCGGGAAGTCTCTTGATGGCAATGTTCCTGGCTTTTGAAAGAACCAGAAGGAGCAGCCAGAGTAGCAGGTGCAAGCCTGCTGCTTAATGGCTATGAAATCTCCCTGACACTCAGTCTCTCCAAACCTACCATGGGGCAGGGGGCAACGGGTTCAGGAGGCCTCCCAACCCAGGCCCAGGATCTTCTGCCTTCCCTCTGATCCTCTACCCTCAGTTGCCACTGCCTCACATGGAAGTTGGAGGGCAGATCATGCTGGCAGCTGATCTGGGTGTGGCAGCTGAAAGCCCCTTTGCGGTGGAGGCCGAGTCTGGTTTCCTGCTGGTGACCAGGGTCCTGGACCGAGAGGAGCAGGCAGAGTACCGACTGCAGGTAGGGATGGGTCTGGGCACTGGGAGCCATAGGGATAGCAGGGCTGGGCACTGACTGCCCTGCTCCACCAGGTGACCCTGGAGGCTGAGGATAGGCGTGTCCTGTGGGGTCCACAGCCTATGACAGTGCGTGTGAAGGATGAGAATGACCAGGTGCCCCGGTTCTCCCAGGCCAGCTATGCAGCTCAGTTGAGCCAGGGCACCAGGCCTGGTAAGTGGCCAGGGAAGCTGAGGGAGGACCGGGAGGAGCTGAAGGGATGACAGACAGCCAAGAGTCAGTTGGCATGGTGATGGGGCAGTGGGGGTCCTGGCTGTTTCCTCTGATTTCTGTGCCATGTGGCCCCATCTACTCTTGGTCTCAGTTTGCTCAGCAGTAAAGTGGGGTGAAAAGCTATGGCTCACCTCCAGAGAGATGCTTAGCACCAAGCTAGATCTGACAGCCTACAAAAGACTTGCAAGGGAGAGACAGAGGAGAGGCCTGAAGACTCTACCCTCACCTCCAGCCCTCATGGTCTCCCTTCTTCCCACAAACCAGGTGTTCCCTTCCTCTTCCTCGAGGCTTCAGACGGAGACGAGCCAGGCACGGCCAACTCGGATCTTAGATTCCACATCCTGAGCCAGACCCCGGCCCAGCCTTCTTCAGATGTGTTCCAGTTGGACCCTCGCCTGGGGGCTCTGGCCCTGCGCTGGGAGGGTGAGCCCTGAACTGGGTGCACTGGAGGTGGTGCAGGGGGACCCGGAAAGCCCGGAGAGGGGGCACCTGAACAGACAGAGAAGGCTGGGGGTAAATGGGAGGAGCCTGTGGGACAGACAGGGCGCACCCAGGGGAGAGTTGAGGGTGGAGGACGAAGGCAGTACCTCAGCTCCACACACTGGTGACCCCATGGCAACAACCGCAGGAGAAGTGGGGTGGTTAGCCTGGGCTGTCACTGGGAGAGCTCAGGAGAGACCCAGATGGGCGAGCTCAGACCAGGTAGGGGTTGAGATGGGGAGAAGAGCAGATCATGTATCAGTCAGCCTGCCTATCACACATCTGCCCTCACCCCTGCCACTTTCCAGGCAGCACCTCTGACACTCCCCCAGCACTCCCCCATCCATATATCCAAACCTGCCCCATCCATCCAATCAGCAACCTGCCACCTTCCCACCTCTCCCTCTTCCCATCCCTCCAGCCCTTCCTCCTTTCATGGTACGTGGTACATGGTACAAGAGACTTTGTTGGAAACACAGGCTGGCCATTGCGCTTGGCCTTCTGCCCAGCTAACCACTCTCCCTCCTCTAGGGAGCGCTGGCCTAGACCATGCCCTGGAGGGCTCCTACCAGCTCTTGGTACAGGTCAAAGACATGGGTGACCAGGCCTCAGGCCACCAGGCCACTGCCACAGTAAAGATCTCTGTGGTGGAGAACACCTGGACGCCCCTAGAGCCGGTCCACCTGGCCGAGAACCTCAAAGTCCCATACCCACACCATCTGGCCCAGGTAAGTGAGTGACTGGATACTGCAGCGGGCCTGTTTGGGGTGTAGGTCTGTAACCCAACCTGAGCCCTGCTCCTCCCTCCACTCGACCCATCACTCCCCCACCATGAGCAGGATGGTTAAGGCTCTGGGACCAATCCTCTGGTTTCTCAACTACCATCCTCTGGTGGATGTGACACTCAGCTCTGATGCCTGCCAAGCTTGCCCAATTCTTCCTCCAAGATGAGCAGCTGCCTGGGGATTGTCACCTAAGTCAGGAATGTCTCAGACTCTTCTGGGAATGCCCTGGGGTCAGGCCCAGGCAGAGAGGGCAGGAAATAAAATCACCTGGTGATGATTCAGGCATTTGGGGCAGAGTCCACACGTGTGCCAGAGCAAGGCCCCTGTGGTCTTGCCAACAAGTGCCCCTAACAGAAGAGCCCCCCATGGACTGCAGGCTAAGGGGGGACAGCACCTCACCTGGGGTCCCACTGTAGCAAGGCCACAGACTCCTCACCCAGGAACTGCTGGGTCACAGGGAATGATGATGGGGGTTGCTCATGGTCCTCAGTCTGGGGCACTCTCATTCGTCTGCCCTCCTTCTGTGCCCTCATAGGTCCACTGGAGTGGGGATGCTGTGAGCTACCACTTGGAGAGCCATCCCCCAGGGCCCTTTGATGTGGACATGGAAGGGAAGCTCTATGTGACCAGCGAGTTGGACCGAGAAGTCCAGGCAGAGGTGAGGTGAGAGGGAAGGTAGGCAGCAGGTGGGGCATGCTAGGTCGCTACCTGCTTGGCTTTCGGGGGTGCCACAGTCCCTGAAGGTTCAGAGGCAGTGGGGTCAGCCTAGAAGAGAATTGAAGCTGGCCACCAGGAATAGCTCCTTCCTGGGCCGGGCCGGGCTGGAGCTGCCCGTGGCCTTGACCTGAAGCCCCGTCCCCTCCCCACTGTCTACGGCAGTACCTGCTCCAGGTGCAGGCTCAGAATTCCCACGGGGAGGACTACACGGAGCCCCTGGAGCTACAGGTGGTGGTGATGGATGAGAATGATAACGCACCTGTCTGCCCCCTGCCAGGCCCGCCAATCAGCATCTCTGAGCTCAGTCCCCCAGGTGGGCCCTGGTCCTGGCAGGGGTGGAGAAGTATGGGGTCCACCCCTCTGGCATGAATAGGAGATAGCCCAGACCCTCAGGTCAATGTCCTTTCCCCAGATAAACACGCATGAGCTTCAGTTCCATGCAGCCCAACAGTGGACGGGGCCACTGGACTGGGCAGCGGGCCCACAGGGTGGGTGCCCCCTTGCAGGCACTGTAGTGACCACGCTGTCAGCGGAGGACGCGGATGCCCCTGGCTCCCCCAATTCCCACATTGTGTATCAGCTGCTGAGCCCTGAGCCGGAGGAGGGAGCCAGGGGCAGAGCCTTCCAGCTGGACCCTGCTTCAGGCAGCCTGAGCCTGGGAGATGTCCAACTCCAGGCTGGCCAGAACCTCCTTCTGCAGGTGCTGGCCATTGACCTGGCCGGAGCAGAGGAGGGTGAGTACCCCGGCCCTCTACCCTATCCCCTGCCTACAGCCACTGCTCCTCTGCTCCAACCTGAAGCTCATCTACATGGCCCCTCCTGTCTCAGGCCTCAACAGCACGTGTGAGGTGGAGGTGAAGGTCACAGACGTCAACGACCACGCTCCTGAGTTCACCACTTCCCAGGTGAGCTGAGGCGGCGGGGTGACCTCCTCAGGGTGGGTGCCAGGGGTTGGGAGCATGTCCTCTACCTTCCCTATCTCTTCAGATTGGGCCTGTAAACCTCCCTGAGGACACGGAGCCCGGGACTCTGGTGGCCACACTCACAGCCACTGATGCTGATCTTGAGCCTGACTTCCGTCGCATGGACTTCGCCATTGAGGCAGGGGATGCAGATGGGACCTTTGGTCTGGATTGGGAGCCAGATTCAGACCATGTCCAACTCCTCCTCCGCAAGGTCAGGGACTAGGTGGGTGGGAAAGGAACACTTGTGCACACACACACACACACACACTCCCAGCCCACATAGTGACCCTGGCCTCACCCGTTGCAGAACCTCAGCTATGAGGCCGCTCCAAGCCACACAGTGGTGGTGGTGGTGAGGAACGTGATGGAGCTGGTGGGCCCGAGCCCAGCTCCTGCATCCACGGCCACCGTGACTGTGCTGGTGCAGAAGGCAGCGCCACCGCCCAGGTTGGAACAGGAGAGCTATGAGGCCAATGTCCCAGTCAACACCCCAGCCGGCTCCTTCCTGCTCACCATCCAGCCCGTAGAGGCCTGGAGCAAGGCCCTCAGGTGAGCCAAAAACCCAGTCTCTTACCTGGATCAACTCTGCCAGGCTGCCCAGGGATAACCCTCATTTCCTGTAGCCTGGAACAGTTTGTAAGCTACGGCCCGATACTAAGGTGGGGACTCCTGGGGGCTGTCAGGACTGCATGGACCAGACAGGGCTTGGAGGGGGAAATTTAGATCCCAAGAGAACTCAGCTTTTGCCTCCCCAGCTGGAGGGAGCACCAGATGCCCAGCTCTGAGGGTTGCACCAAGTCCTACAGCTGGAGGTGGGGGACTAGGCACCTTGGGCTCTACTGCTTTTCTGAGTCACAGAGACATTGAGGCCTGCTCTGGGGGTTTCTGACATGCATGCGTGGTACTGGTGCCTCCTTGCCTCCCCCCACATACACCCCTTCTCTCCTCAGGTTCTCCCTGGTCAATGACTCAGAGGGCTGGCTCTGTATCCAGAAAGTCTCTGGGCAGGTGCACACAGCCCGCTCACTGCAGGGCGCCCAGCCTGGGGGCTCCTACACAGTGCTGGTGGTGGCCCAGGATGCAGGTGGGCCCAGGGAAATGTGGGGCCTTCAGGCAGGGAGTGTGACGCTCAGACTTGGGAGCAGAACAGAGCTTCCTCCTTGGGACTGTGGCACTGCCTGGGACTACCACACCCCAGGCAGGAACAAAGGACTAGGACTTAACCCCAGCTGGGCAGGCTTGGCCTCTGCCTCCTTTCTTTGGCCACCCTCCCAGCTCTCTCCCTTAGCCCTCAAGTGGCATGATAGGAGTGGGGGAAGAGGGAGGGGCAGGTTTGGTGTCCCAGAAGGTACAGATGGCCTGGCAGCTGTTCAGGTAGTGAAGCGTAGAGGCTGGCACAGGGTGACAATGGGATGGAAGGTGGGTGGAAAGGGCAGTGGGGGGCCAGCAAGGTGGTGCTCACCCTGTCCCCACCCTGACCCGCAGAGGAACCAAGGTTGAGGGCTTCTGCTGCTCTGGTGATCCACTTCCTGAATGCCCCTCCGGCCCGGGCCATGCCACTGAGCCCCATGCTCACCCGGCACCTCTGCACGCCCCGCCAGGACCAGGGCGTGCTCGTCAGCGGCCCTGGAGAGGACCCCAACGTGGCTTCTGGGCACAGTCTCTACAGCTTTGCCCTTGGTCCCAATCCTACGGTGCAGCGTGACTGGCGACTCCGACCCCTCAACGGTGTGCAGTGGGGAAAGGGAGGAGGAAGTGTGGGGGCTGGGAGGCAAGATGCACAGCGCCTCCCACCCCCACCCTGAGAGCCTATCCAGGCTGGCAACTCTTTCTGGTCATTGCCTGCCATCCCCTCAGGTTCCCACGCCTTTCTCACCCTGGCCCTGCACTGGGTGGAGCCAGGTGAGCACATGGTCCCTGTCGTTGTCAGCCATGATACCCAGGTGTGGCAGTTCTCTGTACCAGGTGGGTAGCCTGCAGCTCCTGGGGGCTGTCCCTGGGACATATGGGGAGGGGCTGGGGACGTACGTACATGGAGGCTCACCCAGACAGCCCTACCAGGCACATGTATAGAACATGTGTGACTATGCAGATGCACACACACCACGTGTGTCTGCAGCCAGGGTGCCCTTGCCCGTCATTTGTGCTCTACTCTCCCCCTCCACAGTGGTAGTATGTCGCTGCAACACGGAGGGGCAGTGCATGCGCAAGGTGGGCCGCATGAAGGGCATGCCCACCAAGGTGTCGGCCGTGGGCATCCTCGTGGGCACCCTGGCTGCCATAGGTAACTGATGCTGGGCTCCTGCCTGGGCGAGGGTAAGGGGTGGTTGGGGCCACAGAGTGGAGTCGCCAGTCCCTGAGGTGCCCCAAGTATGGGAAAAAAGTGTCCTATCTCTCCTGGTCATTCTACCGTTGCCCCTGCTGGCATGTTCATCATCGCTGTTAGAGATGCAGTCTGTGCTGTTGTCCACTCCTTTGCTGGCCATTCCAGGTTCTGTGCCAGGCACTGGACACAAATTATCCCAACTCCTCCCCACGGGCTGTGAGGTCGATCCCAAGGTCACAAGGCTCAGAGCAGTTCAGTGACTTGTTCGAGTGTCCCCAACCACAATTGGACAGAACCTAGGTCTTTCTAGCCCAACTTCTCCACCCCCTCCTGTCCACTCTGTCCAGTCCTCTGACTGCTTTCACCCCCTGGCTGGATTTCTTTGCTTGGATTCTAGCACAATCTACAATGGGTCTTTCTCTCAGAGGTCAAGAGGAACTGCTCAGTTGTTTCCAGGTGACTGCCACCAAACTGTCTCCCTCTAATAGAGAGGCCTTTGATGCTGGAGAGCTTCAGAGGAGTGAGAACTCAGCAGGCCAAGCAGACAGGGCTGCTGTCCCCAACCCGGGCTTGGAGTGCTATCCAGGAAATGCCGTCTCTTTATTCAACCCATGTCAATAACAGGGAGTCCCTCCAGCAACTTCTGCAGCCTGATTCTTCCTTTCTGGTCCATCCCACCCCACCACCCCAGGCTTCTTCCTCATCCTCATCTTCACCCACATGGCACTGGCAAGGAAGAAGGACCTGGACCAGCCGGCAGACAGTGTGCCCCTGAAGGCAGCAGTCTGAAGCTTGGCTCCTGGCTCCCTCTCTGACACCTGAGATCCTCCCTGTGCCCTGGTGGTGGCACTGTCACCTGAACATGGACTATACGGGGTGCATGGGCAAGCACTGCAGACAGTGGCATGTTTGCCCACTAATAAAGCCTTGGGGGGCTGGGCTGGGCCCCTGAGGACTTCTGTATCCCTGTCCTGTGGGCTGTGTGCTTGTGTGGGTGTGCAAACACTTGCACCTCCAGGCCTTTCCCACCTCCTACTGTGGAGTGCCCTGTGGGTAAGCAGAAGGAGACTGACACCCTCCGTGGGGAAGGGCACTGGTGCCTTTGGCAGGCTGCTGATGAGACCTTGGGATCATGGCAAGGTGAGTCATTTTATTGGCCATCCAGAGCCAGAGCCTAGAGAATGTGACCAGAGACAGGTTAACCCTGCAGGTGATGGTCAAGCCAGAGTACAAGAGAGATCTTCGATGTGCTGGTTCACTCCCCACACAGCTGCAACAGCCAGAGCTGAGCTGATCTAAAGCCAAAAGTCAAGAGCCTCTTCCAGGTTTTCCATGCGGGTGTGGGGTCCCAAGGCTCTGGGCTGTCTTCCACTGCTTTCCCGGGCCACAAGCAGGGAGCTATATGGGACGTGAAGCATCCAGGACATGAACCAACATCCATACGGGATACCAGCATTTGCAGGTAGAGAATTAGCTGATTGAGCCATTATGCCGGCCCCAAGGAGGGTTGTCTTTCTGGACTTTACTGGACATCATCTTTGCATAAACTTGTGAGTCCAGCTCTCTAAGCATGCGTAAGCAGTCGCACCCCTGTGTGTGAGTCACTTACAGGTGGGGTGGCCAGAGGCCCATTGGGCTAAGGAGGGGCTTAGGCAGGAGGCCAGGGTGCCCCAGTGCAAGCTCCGAGGCATGTCTGGCTGCCTTGCTTGCTAATGACCATGCCAGTGGGGACATCTGCACAAAGTTGGGGAGGGAGGGTCACTGTATTATAGCGACTGGAAGGGCACAGGGACCCTCTACTCGCCCTAGCAGCTCACTGAGCCCTGAATGTCCCTGCACACTCACCTATAATAATCCCTGATCCCTGGCTCCCCCCAAACTCGTGCTGACCCTCCCCACACTAGACTCCCTTCCCAGAAGTCTCTGGGTGAGCTGGGATGGGACTTGCTATCCTGGGCCCCCTTGCCTGCTGATGGGAAATCACGGGGAAGGGAGAAAAACAGCCTCTGTGGGGCCCAGGCCCTATTTTTAGGAGATAATCTCTCCACTGCTGGCAGATTCCGTGGGAAGGGGGCCAAGCCCAGCCAAGGGAGACAGGGCAAGCGTCGCTGGGGAGACTCGGGGGATGAGATCTGAGGCTGGCCCAGGAATCCCTACCTGGAGCTCTGCCCATAAGTCTGGGCCCCAGAAGAGCTGCCCAGCCTGGACCCAGGACCCTCTGCCTCATCTATACCACACATTGGTCCTCAGGACACAAAGCTGCTTGTAGGAAGCATCTTGTCCCATCTTCTCAGCCACATGCAGAGCCAGGGAGAACAGGAAAGGTCAGGGAGGCTGAGGGCTGCAGGAGGGAGTGTTAAGAACCAGGGTACAGGATGCAACAGTCTGGCCGAGGTCCCTATCAGGTCTCTGCCTTCCGCTGGTCCCTGCTCCCACGACATCCACCGAAGGGCCTTAGGGCTCAGCCAGGTCTGCTGCTTACTGTCAAGGAGGGAAGAAGCACTGCCAGGAGATGGAGGGATTTCCACATGTTCCTGTGGCCCATGGGATGCAGCACTAGGGCGGAAGCAGCCCTACTCTTTGACTCTGTGTTCTGGGGGGGATGGGTAACCGGAGAGGGCTGGGAGAATGGGCAGATGGATGGTGGACTGGTGCATAGGTGAGCAAGTGCTAGGGACCAGAGAAGGCAAGCGTGGATGACAGGACACTGGGGCAAATGAAGGGCCCAACTCCCATCTGAGGGCTTCTCCCACCAGCCCCTAGGCCACTCCTTGCTTAGAGAGACACTGTAGAGAGACCCCCAAGATCTGCCTTTCACTTTTTTTTAAAGGCTTATTTATTTTTTATTGTAAAGGCAGATTTACAGAGAGAAGGAGAGGCAGAGAGAAAGACTTTCCATCCCCTGTTCAATCCTCAAATGGCCACAATGGCTGGAGCTGAGCTGATCCGAAGCCAGGAGCCAGGAAACCCCTTGGGGTCTCCCACATGGGTGCATCCTCTACTGCTTTGAGTCATCCTCGACTGCTTTCCCAGGCCACAAGCAGGGAGCTGGATGGCAAGCTGAGCAGTCAGGACACAGACCATATGCGTGGAATGCCAGCGCTTGTAGGTGAAGAATCGGCCCACTGAGCCATTGCACTGGCCCTGGTTTTATTTCTAAAAATGAAAACGCAGACACACATTTAGCAAGAGGAGGAAAGTTTCTTCCAACTGCAGCCTCACTCTACACATGCCTGTAATAACAGCTAGGGCTGGGCTGTGCCAAATCCAGGAGCCCAAAACTCAATCCAAACCCCGCCATGTGTGGTGGACACTCAAGTATCGAAGCCATCAGCTGCTACCTCCCGGGGGCCACAGTAGCAGGACTCTGGAATCAGGAGCAAAGCCAAACCTCACGCCTGGGCACCCTGACATTTCATGGGCACGTCCCAAGGGACCGTCATAGGCTGTCTGAACTGCTAGGCCAAACACCCTGTCCTCAGTTTACTTTGTGATAAAATGGTTCATGGGGTGGCCAGGAAGAGCAGATGAGAGAATCCCTAGCCAGGCATGACACAAGAGCTGGCTAGATGTGGCTTGGCCTGCTCTGTGGATCTCCGAGGACTTACCACAGGTGTCAAAGCTCCACAGTTACACAGGCCTTGGCTGGGGCAGTGGTGGGGAGCACTTTGGGGAGAGTCCCTGCTTCACCCCCCACTCTGGTCTTGCTGTCTTCTCCTTGGTGTCCAGGTTCTGTCTGCAGCTGCAGGCAGGGGTGGGGGAAGGCTGGGCCCTCACTGGGGGGCTTCTGCTCTCCCTTCCCAGGTCCTTCCCAAAGGCACGGGGCCAGATCAAAGAGCCCCCGGCATGGAGGCTGAGAGGCGGGCTTGGAAAGAATGTAAACAGGAGGATATTTTTAAACGTTTTTCCAGCTCCAGTGATTAGGGCTCTCAAAGCAAGGGGCCCGGAGGTCAGTGTGGCCCTCTCCCAACCAATGCACAAAGCTGTCGAGGGTTCAAAATACGCTTCCCCACCCACACTTACTTGCTCCCACCCAGGAGTCAACCTGGGGCCTCAGGTGGAATTTCATCCTGTGGTCTTACCGCTGAGCGTCCTGCTGCTGTGGAAGGTCAGGGTCCTGAGGAGAGAGCCTCAGAGACATGGCGGGGCTTCTGGATTGCAGGGACTGGTGTTGGGAGACCCCTCGGTGGCCCTGTCACTCCACGGGGCGTGTGGGCACATCTGTGGGGCTGTGAGGGTATGCCCTCCTCAGCCCCCCTTGCTCACCTTTCTCAGCACCTCCAAGCTACTGCAGAGGCGCCTTTGGTGTGTGGATGCTATGGGGGTTCAGGAACCTCCTGCAGGGCTTCCCAGGAGGGTAACCTGAGGACAGCATGGGGACAAGAGCGGGCTGGGGAGAGGGCAGGCCAGGAGGCTGGGGGCCTGGGGTTAGGACCGGCACTGACACACACCATAGGAGTGATAGGGGGGCCATGGTGTTAACAACAGGTCCTCAACTGCCTGAGGTGCGGGTGGGAGACACCCAGGTGACACCACAGCTTGGGAACATGGTGTCCCAATGGCCTGGGTTTCCTCCTTTCCGGTGGCACAGTGACAGTCATCATGGGCTCCATGACAACAGCCTCTTCCCTCCTCAGAGTGACGCAGCCACCCTCCCACACTCTCCACAGGAGAGTCACACAGTGGCTGCAGCCACCACATCTCCTCCCCCGACCTGCACCAACTCACACCACACACATCCTGTGACCATGCCCCAGGGACTCCTAAATGTGGGACCAGCGCCCGACCTCATCCACATTGCATGGGCTACAGTCAACATCCCAAGCCCAGGCATAGTTGGGGAAGATAAGGATCCCGAGCCCTAGGAGAAAGACCCCCACAGGCCACCTCGTTTTGCTTGTGAAGGGCGCTGTCCAGCTCCAGGTTACACAATGCCTCTGTGGAGTCGGGCTCAGGCCCTAGATGTGGTCTCCTACCCACCCTATCCTGTATCCCTGTGCTGAGAGGAAACTTGGAGCTTTAGCAGGCTTGAAGGGATGCCTGCCCAAGGGAGGGGCGTGGCCCCGGGGAGCACAGGGACTACTAGGGATAGAGATCTGGAGCTTTGTTCCCCAGTTGAGGGCTGGAGCTGCACCCCGAAGCCATCGCTGCACTGTCCCAAGTGGCTGGTGCCCTGTGAGTCCTTCCCCTGGGCCCTCACTCCTCTCTCCACTTGGTGGCAGTGGTGGTGGCAGTGGGGTCAGAGATAGTGGCCAGCTGGGAAGCAGTCATGTGCACCAGGCCCTTATCTGACACATTCCCTGGAAACTTGGCAGATGCTGCCAGCTTCTGGGCACACTGGGCCAGCCTGGGGGTGAGGTGGTTACAGAGATGGTGTGGCAAACCGGGTTTCCGCAGCCTTTCTGCTGGAAAGACCCCATCAGAACTGACCCCATGGGTCTCTAAGGGATTAGCTGCTAAGAACACTCCACACTTGATCTGCTAAGAACACTCAATGCAGAGCTCACCACCATGATCCATTTCTGTTGTCCACGGCCCTGGGGACAGGGTGCTGCCTTTGGCCATGCAGAAGCTGCCTCCGGGGCTCAGTACTGGGCCATGATCCCCAGGGACCCAAGCAGGCCACTGCTCGGCCCGCTGCCCATCTTCCCATCTCAGAGCTGCCAAGTCCTTGTCCCTCTCCAGGCTGTTGCAGAAAGACGGCTAAAGGACTGCAGATTGTGCACCTATGAGTATGCATGTGCATGTTTGTGCATGCACATGTGTGTGTGTCTATGTGCACCCCAAGA